CCTGCAATTTATTTAATTTATTAAGCAAATTTATATGTCAACCGTCCTGTTGGCATACGCAGCAAAGGAAACTCCTGGGACATTACTTAACCGAGAGCATAACTTTACTGACAGATCCATACAGGGTAAGAAGAAGCCAAGCGAGCTCTGAAGTTTTTTGTGCAAAAAAAACCCCAGCTAGTTCATTTCCCCTTTCCCTCTTTGGGGCCATCCATTGTCCACTGTCCACCAATCCAACACGTTCTTTTTATTTCGGGTAAACAGTCTGCGCCTTCGGAAGATTCCCATCGCACGGCCTTGAAGTATCAGGATCTTTTCAGGCTGCCAGCGGCTCATATAGATAAAGAATCTATATCTTTACTCCCTCCTAGCTTCCAATATATTCCAAGCGTTCTCCTCCCCCACTCCCTTCGTTTCTGTTGTCAAGTTGCGAGTAGAGGTGCATTGCGTGTCAGTCTAAACAGCTGCTCGGAGCACTCGGTGACTCCTGGTGGCTTACAAAGATAAAAACCCAAGGACAAAACTCAATGAACCTACACACACACAACATACACACACACGGGGGGGAGAGGGACAGAGACAGACAGACAGATCAGCCACGTGATAGGCTCCATATAACTCTGGGATCCCTAGGCCTAGTGAGAGAACCAGGTCTTCAGGGCCTTGTGAAATGTGAGGGCCAATCTTATCTCTTTAAGGATCGTATTCCACAAGGAGCGAGCCAACACGGAAAAAGCCCTTTTTCTAGGTTCCACAAGATGGGCCTCTTTAAGAGAGGGAGCTTGTAACATTCCCCGCCTCCCTGCTATGGTGGATTGAGTAGAGGTGGCTGGGAAAAAGAGGGTCCTTTAAATCAGTGGCCCCGAACCTTTTTCGTGCCACAGCCCAGTACCGGCATCACAAAATGATCCGCGGCCTGGTACCGGCATCAGCACACATGACAAGGCAAGGCGAGCCGAGCGACCGGCCGGCCAGCCATCCCCCGCTTCTCCCTGCCACCTTCAACTCCTCCTTTGTACCTTTGTCAATGGGCTTCGGGACGGCTTCGGGACAGTCGCTCGGCTCGCCTTGCCTTGGGTGCTGAAAGAATCCTCACGCCTTAATTTTGTTCGAAGCCCCCCCCCCTCGATGAAACTAAGGCGCGAGGATTCTTTCAGCACCCAAACGCCGCTTTCCAACCGGAAAAGCTCACCCGGAAGCATTTTCTCATCAAACAAGATGGCGGCGCCCAGCAAACCGGCGGCCCGGTAGGAAATGTTCCACGGACCGGTACCGGTCCGTGGCCCAGTGGTTGGGGACCCCTGCTTTAAATAACCTAGCTGCAAACCATGCAGGATTTCAAGGCCACGACCAGCACCTTGAATGGGAAGCAAATCAGCGGCCAATGCAGGTTCTGCAAGAGGCAACAAATGCACAAATCTATCTATGTGCACAAAAACATTCAAACCACGCTATTCTGAACCAACGGAAGCTTCTGGATACTTTTCAAGGGTGGCCTCATGTAGAGTGCATAATAAAAGCCAAGTCTTGAACTGAACCTATATATCAAGCCGTGTCCTTCCCACTTGCAAGTAATCAAGGTTGGAAAACAGCACATGAGTTCTCACCCTTCACGAAACAAACCCTCCAATTATTTAAAAAATTATCGAATCTATTTGCAATTAATGCTGCAATAATATGTTAATCAGTATTCAGCTAGAGGGGATAGTATGTGTATAATGTCTTTTTGTGTGATGCCTCTTTTTAAGGCTTTGTTTTGTGTTTTGTGGTAGTTTTTTTCTTGTCCTTTTGGAAAAAATTTTTTTTGAGCTCTGTAGTTTAACTTTGTTTTGAATAAAAATAAAAATATATAATAATGAACATTGGATAACACTGCTTTAAAGTAAGAGTCCTTGTGTTCATGATAACTGATCACCTGTTAGCACTGCGCTCTTCCAGATGCTGTAAGAAATTCCAAACTGCTGAACAAAGGAAAACAGAAAACTCCCTCCTGCTACTCACACAGGAAGGTCAAAAAACAGAAAGAACACACAATTCTTTTCCTGGTCCCAAGGTCAATTATCTCACTGAATAAAAATAGCGTTTTTTCTGACTTAGTATTTACTAATCCTGTCTTTCCCCCCCAAAATAAAAATATATAATAATGAACATTGGATAACACTGCTTTAAAGTAAGAGTCCTTGTGCAGTGACCAAGTCCCAAAGCAAGTAGCCAGCCCCAAAACTAGCTAGGTTAGGCAGCCAACATGAGCTATATGTTGACTGCCTAACCTAGTTACCCCATTAACCCACTGAGCGCATTTGCAAAAGTCACCGAGTCACCTACCACCAAGCAGGCTGGTTTTTTGTATAATATAAATAAAAACTAAAGGTTTAACAATCTCAAACTTAGCATGTTAGCCCAACAGATCTGGCAGGATTTTACCTGACCTTCTAAGAAGTAGGGAACTATGGGCCTTTTATGATTTGTGGACTTCAACCCCCCCATTCCTGGCTGGCTCAGGAATTCTGGGAGTTGAAGTCCACAAGTCATAAAAGGCCCATAGTTCCCTACCCCTGTTCTAAATAAATGAATAAGATTATCTATGGAATCGTTTTTCCTGTTGCCCTGCCCAGGTAGGGCAGGGAAGATATCTTGCAGACTCTGTCAACTGAAGAAGTCCAAGGGGTTTCGAGAAGACCACTGATGTTACTCCCACCCTACGGATCAGTTTCTCCCTCGCCCTAGAGGTAAGACAGGCCCCCACTATCCTGGCCTTCAGGAAAGACATGCAAACATGGCTCTGTGGCTGGGATGGCTCCCCCAAGTGCCTCTCCAGAGGCCAATTCAAAGGAGGATGAACCAGTCCCAGGCACTTCAGGAGGGGACTTACTCAATGGCTCCAAGTAGCCAACTGAGAGTAATTTGGCCGAAGCACAAGTGCAGCCCATCAGTGATGATGAGAATAGAATAGAATAACAGAGTTGGAAGGGACCCCTCAGGCAGGAAATCCTATACCAGGGCTCTTCAAACTTGGCAAGTTTAAGACTTGTGGACTTCAACTCCCAGAACTCTTCCTCCCGTCATGTTAGCTCAGGAATTCTGGGAGTTGGAAGTCCACAAGTCTTCAACTTGCCAAGTTTGAAGACCAATGTTAGGAATATGAGTCACCTAACAGCTTGGACAATATATAAACCAGGATAGACATTTTAATACTGTCTCTTTAAGAGAATCCTAAAAGTGTAATTGGGTGTGGTTTCTCAAACGTTCATAAGATGGAGCCAGAAACCTGGGCTGTTTAGTTCCTGTTCTGGTGTTTCTGGAGTCTTAGACTTAGTCTCAGAAGAGAGTGTGAGTCAGTCTCTGTTTCCTTCTGTTGGAGAGTATTGCCGTTCCTCATAATTGACTGATATTCTTGGATTTGATGTAAGTCTGATACTGAACTGTTTTTGATACTGGACTTTGTTATTGGATTATCCCTGGACTAAAAACTGACTGATTTACCTGTGAATGACTTTGGACTGCTTGTTTTGAACTTTGTTTAAACCGTTTCTGGAAGTAAAAACCTACATTTACTGTACAGTGTATCTGTGTGCTGTGTGTGTATTATTCAAACACTTCTCTCAAATACGTCTCCCTGTATGCGCTCATTCTCCTAGCGGGGAATTACCTCAACAACCATAGCCCTATACCATGTCAAACAAATAGTTGTCCAATATTTTCTTACAAACTTTCAGTGTTGGAGCATTCCCAACTTCTGGAGGAAGGTCATTCCACTGATTAATTGTTCCGTCACAAAATTCCTCCTTATTTCTAGGTTTCTTCTATCCTGGATTAGTCTCCATCCTTTCCTTCTTGTCCTACCCTCAGGTGCTTTGGAGAATAGCTTTACCCCCCGTCTTCTTTGGGGCAGCCCCTGAGATATTGGAACACTGCTACCATGTCACCCCTAGTCCTTCTTTTCATTAAATTAGACATACCCAATTCTAGCAACAGTTCTTTATGTTTTAAAAAGCCTCCAGTCCCCTAATCATCTTTATTGCGCTTCTCTGCACACTTTCTAAAGCCTTTTTATTCATCCTGCACCTGCACAAGAACAGGTAGGGCAGAAAAAAGGCAGGAGTGAAAGTCAGCCAAATTACTCACGAGGAGGCAGCCTTGACCTTCTTGATGGGCTGCACCATAAGCTGGCTATTTAGCAAGCAGACAGATGGAGCTGATGTTGGGAACAATGTTTTATTTCCTTTTACTTCCTGCATGATTTCCTGATCATGATTCCTGCTTTGACTGGATTTTTGCCTTCTGAACTCTGGACTTTTCTTGCCTCGTGAATCCTCTTGTGTTGTGGATTTAATTCTGCCTGGTGGCATTTGCCGTGTGGGAAACTTTCAAGTGCCTCATGCGCTTACTGGCCATTGCTCTGTGGACTAGCATTGGTCTGCTTTTGACTGGATAGTTCTGAGTTTTTGGGAAGTGCTGGGGAATATTAATAAACCCACTAAAACATTAGGTGTGCGTGAGAGTGAGCAGGACAGCAGGGTGGCTTTGTGTCTATGGAGATTCTCATCCAAGAAGCTTCTTCAAATCTGAAGACCCATTTTGTAAAACTGAAAACAATTATCCGGAAGATCGAGGATAATCTGTCTGTAAATTCTTATGATCAATCTCCATTCAGAGACCAGTTCTGGAAGAATCTCTGTTACAGTAGCCCTGTGGTTTTAACTTTATGGAATCTTATACCATTAAATTACCATAATATAATACTGATAGTTATATATCCAGGTGCTTTCATAAATGTTATTCTCAGCTCGTTAATAAAGGAAGAATATTTGGCCAAGAAAGATGGAAAAACGCAAGCAGGCCAAACTATATTTTTCTTGGCCAGTTCTTCTTTCATCAACAAGCTGAGAGTAACATTTATGTTACTAATCCAAAACTATCAATTCATAAAGCAACTGACCGCGCAAGGCTTCCGAAAGAAAAGTCATTTCTTGGGAAAACAAATACGAAGTCTCACCAACCTCTGTGAATGCTCCTTTGTGTCTTGGTTCTACAAATATTGGCTTCAGTGCTTCTATTTTTTTTGTAAAATCATGGGCCTAGCAAAGCAGAGACAGAAGAGATTAGATTGCAATAAAAGAAAAGTAGGGAGAACTCCACCATCGTCTAAGGGAAAAGTCTCCAAACTTGGCTACTTTAAGACTGGTTGACTTCAACTCCCAGGTTTCCCAGCCAGCGTGGCTGGATAGGGAATTCGGGGAATTCTTCAAGGAACATAGAACAATAGAGTTGAAGAGGCCTTCTAGTCCAACCCCGTTGAAGCAAAAGGCCCTATACTATTTCAGACAAGTGGCTGTCCAGTCTCTTCTTAAAAGTCTCCAGTGACGGAGCACCCATTTCTGAAACCACGGTGTTCCACACTGGTTGATTGCTAGGAAGTTCCTCCTTAGTTCTAGGTTGCTTCCTCCTTGATTAGTTTCCACCCATTGCTTCTTCCCTTCCCTTCTGGTGCTTTGGAAAGTAGGTTGACTTCCTTTTCTTTGTGGCAGCCCCTCAAATATCGGAAGAACTGCTATCCTGTCACTCCCAGTCCTTCACTGGACTGGACATACTCAATTCCTTCAATAATTCTTCGTATGTTTTAGCCTCCAGTCCCCTAATCATCTTAGTTGCTCTTCTTTGCACTCTTTCCAACGTCTCAACGTATTTTTTTTTATAATATGGTGACCAAAACTGGTGTGGTCTTACTAAGGCTTTATAAAGTGGTATTAATACTTCACACGATCTTGATTCTATCCCTCTGTTAATGCAACCTTGGGATTGCATTAGCTTTTTTGGCTGCTGCATCACATGGTTGGCTCATGTTTAAGGGATCATCCACTAGAACTCCAAGGGCCCCTCTCACAATGACTGTTTTTGAACTAGGTTTCACCCAATTTGTACTTGTACATCTGATTTTTCATGCCCAGGGGTAAAACCTTGATTTTCTCCACATTAAATTTCATTTTGATGGGTAAATCTGTCAAGATCTTCTTGGATCCTTGTCTTCTGGGGTGTTGGCTATTCGTGCCACTTTAGGGTCATCTGCAAATTTGATGAGTTCCCTTTCTATTCGCCCATCTAAGCCATTTACGAAGATATTGAAGAATATTGGGCCTAAGACAGAACCTTATGGCACCCCACTGCTTACTTAGTAGTACCATTAAGGACTACTCAATTACAATCTGTCAGTTACAAATCCATCTGGTGGTAATGCTTACCGAGAAGTAAGTTGTGGTCTACTTTGTCAAATGCCTTGCTGAAGTCTAAACATACTACGTCCACAGTATTTCGCTGGTCTACTCATTTATTCACTTTGTCAACGAATGAAGTAAGATTAGTTTGGCATAATCTGTTTTTAAGAAACCTGTGCTACTAGTTATAACTTTGTTTTTAGATGTTCACAGATTTGTTTTTTTTTTCATTATTTTTTCCAGTATCTTCCAGGTACTGATGTTACGTTGATTGGTCTGTAGTTTCCTGGGTCTGTTTCCTCCTCTCTTTTTTGAAGATGGGAACCACATCCGCTCTTTTCCAATGCTCTCGTAGTTCCCTGGTGCTCTGAGATTTTTTAAAGATATGATACAATGGTTCTGAGATAACATCTGCCGGCTCCTTCAGAACTCTGGGATGTAATCGGTCAGGTCCCGGTGATTTATATTCATCAAGGTCAGACAGGTGTTATGTTACTATTTTCTTGCTTGTTTTAATTTTTATTTCTAGCCTGTCTTTTACGGTTAATGTTTTTCTCGCCTAAGTGTAAAACCTAACTTTTCTCTACACTGAATTTCATTTTGTTGGAAAGGGCCCAGTGAACAAGTCCATCAAGATCCGTCTGGGTCTTGAACCTATCATCTGGGATATTGGTTATTCCTGCCTGCTTAATGTCACTCATAGCTGAGTGCCCCTTCTATTCGCTCATCTAAGTCATTTATGACTTCAACTCCCAGAATTCTCTAGAAGGCTGCTGAAGTTGAAATCCACAAGTAGCCAAATTTGGAGACAACAACACCCCCGCCCCCCTCCCAAACTAAGGTCTAGTCTGTTCCCCAAAGCGGAAACCTACTTTCCAATATTCCAGGCTTTTATCCATGACCGGATATGAAGGAAAAAACACCAGGAGTCCATTTGGTATTATTCGGACAAGATTAACTGCAACAAAACACAGTGTGAGTTAAACCAACTTTATCTGACTTCAGTACTGAGATATTTGCTTTTTAAAAACACCTTTGGACATTCCTCTGCTGATCTACAGGCAGTCCTTGACTTACGACCACAATGGGACCAGAATTTATGTTGTTAGGTAAGGCAGCTGTTAAGTGACTAGCAGCCCACTTTATGATGGTTTTTGGCCACTGATATTGAGCAAATCACTGCAATTAAGAGAATCATGCATTCATTAAGCAAATCCAGGTTTTTCCCATGGACTTTTTTTTTTATCAGAAACTGGCTGGGAAGGTCGCAAATGACGATCATGTGACTTGGGACATTAGACTAGAATAACCTCCAAGGTTGGAAGGGACCTTGGAGGTCTTCTAGTCCAACCCTCTGCCTAGGCAGGAAACCCTACACCACTTCAGACAAATGGTTATCCAACATCTTTTTAAAAACTTCCAGTGTTGGAGCATTCACAACTTCTGGAGACAAGTTGTTCTAACTGTGATTAATTGTTCTCACTGTCAGGAAATTCCTCCTTAGTTCTAGGTTGCTTCTCTCCTTGGTGAGTTTCAACCCATTGCTTCTTGTCCTGCCCTCAGGTGCTTTGGAGAATAGCTTGACATGCCGGTTGCCAAGTGTCTAAATTTTGACCACATGATGGTGGGATGCTGCAATGGTTGCAAGTGTAAACGTTGGGTGTAAGTCACTTTCTTTCAGCACCATTGTAGCTTTGGTCACTAAGCAACTGTTGTAAGTCAAGGGCTACAAATATTTTGCTACAGCCCTATTCTCAGCAAAGCAAAATCTCAAATCTCTCAGCAATCTTCTGCCTATCCCTAAAACGTTGGGGTATGGGAATAAATACATCAGAAGGGCTCCCCGACTGTAAAAGCTTTCAGCCAACAGAAGGGGCGGCCATATGCTGGGGTGAGCTTGGATGGCCATTGCTCGGTGATACTGTAGGGCAGTGATGGCTAACCTTTTCGGCACCGAGTGCCCAAAGCGCAAGCGTGCGCATCCCCAAAATGCAATGTATCTGTGCTGCACAGGCGCCTTACAATCCCCATGCATGCACACATCAACTCCCGCACACCCATGCATATGTGACACCTGTGCATGCATGCCACACCCCCTGCGTGCGCCCTACCCCACCCCCCCTGCATGCGTGGCAAAGGCCCAAAGGCCAGTTGGCTGGAGGGAGGTGCGCATGTGCAGCGGAGGTGAGCTGGGGCAATGGCTTGCGTGCCCAGAGAGAGGGCTTTGCGTGCCATCTCTGGCACGCATGCCATAGGTTCGCCATCATGGCTGTAGGGGATCTCTGGACTAAGCAACCAGGATGATTAAGGGACTGGAGACTAAGGCGTATGAAGAACGGTTACAGGAACTGGGCTTGGCTAGTCTAGTAAAGAGAAGGACCAGGGGAGACATGATAGCAGTCTTCCAATATTTGAGGGGCTGCCACAGAGAGGAGGAAGGGGTCAAGCTACTTTCCAAAGCACCTGTAGGGCAGACAAGGAATAATGGATGGAAACTGAACAAGGAGAGTCAACCTGAAAATAAGGAGAAACTTTCTGACAGTGAGAATAATCAACCCATGGAACAGAAGTTGCCTTCAGAAGTTGAGAGAGTGCCATCACTTGAGACCTTCAAGAAGAGATTGGACTGCCATTTGTCAGAAATGGTGTAGGGTCTTCCACTTGGGCGGGGGTTTGTACTAGATGACCTATAAGGTCCCTTCCAACTCTGATTATCTGTCAACTGTTATCTGTTAAGTGACATCTAAGGTCGCTTCCAACTCTATGGTTCCCACTGAATCTCAAAAGTGATTCCCTTCAACGTTAAGAAATTGGCTATTTCTGCACACAAATACATATACACACATACTGTGTACATGCACGCACGCACAAATTATTTCTCACATTTTTGAACCGGCCACTCTCTCTTGAGAGAGTCACTCGGGGCAGCGTGCGATAAAATGTTGAAATATAAAAACAGTGAACGTAAAAAGTAAACGCTTTAGAATTAAGCAAGGATTCTGGGAGGGGGATATTCCACAGGGCAGGGAAGGCTCTCTTCCTAGACCCTGCCACTTAATGAGTACTGATGGGATTTGCAACACCCAAGAGCCCCGACGGCGCAGGGGTTAGAATGCAATATGGTAGGCTAACTCAATGTTCACTGCTGGGAGTTTGATACTGACCTGTTCCAAGTCAACTCAACCTTCCATCCTTCTGAGGTGGATAAAATGAGGACCCAATTACTGGGGGCAAGAGGCTGACTCAGTAAACTACTTAGAGAGGGCTGTAAATCTTTGTGAAGCCGGCATTTAAGCCTAAGTGCTATTGCTGTCCGTGTCGTATATCTTTATCTATCTCTCTGTCTCTGTCTGTCTGTGAATCGATCTGTCACAATGCAGTACAGCAGGGTAACTGCCAGGAGTTTGATCCTGACCGGCTCAAGGTCGGCTCAGCCTTCCATCCTTCCAAGGTCAGTAAAATGAGGAGCCAGATGGTTGAGGGCAAGAGGCTGACTCTGTAAACCGCTTAGAGAGGGCTGTAAATCTCTGTGAAGCCGGTATTTAAGTCTAAATGCTATCCATGTCCTCCCTCCCTCTCTCTCTCTCTCTCTCTCTCTCTGCAGTATTTCAGGCTAACTCTGCCCACAGCAGAAGGCTGTGAAGCACTAAAAAGCAGTGTACAAGTGCTATTGCTATCCCTTCCCTGCCTGCCTGGGTTCAGATAGGCCAATCTAATGGGATGAAAATGCTAACATATGCACACACACCGCATTATACAGTATAACATGAAATGGTAACATCCCCTTGAGCACTCTGGACTGACAGCTGCTTTCCAAGAGTGGATCCAGAAACAGATATAAGAGGCCACCAGCTTTTACAGAACCACCACTGGCAGACGCAGTGAAAGCAATGTCAGCGTTCTGGCTTCTCTCATCCTCCAACCCTCACTAATTCCTCCAGCTGTGTCAAGTGCATTGCAGCATTCAGTCCTGACTGGCACCCAGATTCTTTCTGCTTTACCTACGGTTTTCCCGACAGAGGACAGGCATTCTTCCGTAAATCTGTAAAGGGAGAGAGAAGGAATCCCATCAGCTTGCAGCTTTTAGGTGTTAGGAAGACGGTCGTACTACTCGGTTGTCACAATAATTTCCCGGAAAATTAAATGAATCTCTTTTCCACGCTCAGTTTGTGGTGCTTTCAAATTGCTTTCCACACCTCGCAACGCCGTATGGAATTGCTCTTCAGCTATGAAACTACCTGTTTGAGGGCTCTGGGCCAGACTAGCTAGCTGGCTGCAATCACCAAAGAGCTTCGGTGGTTAGAATGCAGTACTTTGGGCTACATCTGTTGATCACCGGCTGCCAGCAGTTTGGCAGTTCGATTCTCACCAGGTTCAAGGTTGGATTCAGCCTTCCCCCCTTCCGAGGTGGGTAAAATGAGGACCCAGATTGTTGGGGGCAAGAGGCTGACTCTGTTAAACCGCATAGAGAGGGCTGTAAAACACCGTGAAGTGGTATATAAGTCTAAGGGCTGTTGCTATTTCCACCTGTTACTCTAAAATTCCTATCAGGTACAGGTCGTCCTTGACTTATGACCACAATTGAGCCCAAAGTATCTGTTAAGTAAGTCTTTGCCCCTGCTTTATGACCTGTCTTCTCACACTTGTTAAGTGAATTATCCCAGCTGATGAGTTAGTAAGACGGTTCTTAAGTGAACCAGGCCTCCCCGTTTGACTCGGCTTGTCAGAAGGTCGCAAAAACCTGATCACGTGATCCCAGGACACGGCAACCGTCATAAATATGATCACGTGACCACGAGGAAGCTGCAACGGTCCTAAGTGTGAAAAATGCTCGTAAGTCGCTTCCACCCCATATATATATATATATATATAATGACAAGGGAAAAGAGGCAGAGAGGCAGGATCTGTTATCAATCAATCACCACCATTCCGCTGATTCCCCGCTGCGCTGGGGTCCTAACCCCAGTGGGGGGAATCTTTAAGCCCTTAAGGTCTTTTGGCCCTTATGAAAAGGTAGGAAGGATGCACCCTAATAGATCAGCGACATGCTGGAGGTGCAAACACAAGCAAGGAACATTTTTCCATATGGGGTGGATGTGCCAAGAATCAAAGAAGTTATTGGAGGAGGATAAAGAAATGGCTCGAGGAGGTTATT